CACAAGGAGCCTTGCCTTTGCTTCTTTGCACACCTTGTGCAAGGGCCAGTGACTGTCATAGAAACAGCTCCCTCCCTTACATTGTGCCAAAGAGGGTAGAGAGGAAGTGAAGCGATGCCTTCCCCTCCCCCAAGGAGCTGGCCTCCTGCACCAGGAGAAGCAGTTGCATCTTCCTGAAGTGCCCATCCCTCCCATCAGGTGCAGTTCCACATTACCTCCAACAGGGTCCAGTGTCTCAATGGCATAATTTGGCTCAATATGAGGGAAGTGAAAGATCTGCATGTTATATGTGCTTTTAAAAGGACATGGTAAACAACTTTAAAATGGCATTGTGGGATTCCATAAATGGGTGTCAGCTTCAGACCATATCTGATCAGTTTTGAAAGTAAAAATGTGTTTTTAAACTGCCAGCTTTCAAAACTCCTCTTGGAACCTGAAAGTCAGGCTGGGATTTTCCTGGTTCATATGAGAAATAAGTGGTCTCTAATTAAACTTGGTCAACAACTCTATTGAAGAATGTTCAGCCTAGAGCAGAATCAGGCTGCTGTCCCCAGAGGTGCCCTTGGCTCTGGAGAGCTAACATTAGTGAAATGTGGTAAAATATATATTTCTCTTAGGGAAACATCCTATAGAATCATAAAATTTAATAATACATTTAAACCAACCCTTAGAACTCTATTAAAGGAATGTGATTGTCTGTTAAATTCAGTAGCTTGGTTTAAAAATTCTGTAGGAAGAACATGTCTCTCCATTAAATTCTACAGAGTTTTAATGTCTAAAGAATCCTATTGCTTTAATCCCTAATATACTCTGTAGGATTTTTCCATGCAGGTAGTCAGCAGAGTAAAAATCATTACTCAAACCAGGGAGTGCATTCGTTGGGATGGCACCATTTTTTCATTGTCATGTTGCTTGTATGGCTTTTGAGTGAACATGAAACCCACAGACATTCATTCTGAACAGTATCGGGTTATCCAAACTTAATTTGGCAGTTTCTACATCTTACAAAAGTCATTAGAAAGACAATTACCCTAAAGAAAAGCAGTTGATTTCTTACACATTGCTCTGCAAGCTGCAGTTTTCCTTGTCACTTCTTCCCCACTGTTACACTTGTGCTTTGCATCTGCAGTAAGCAGAATGTTTCTAGTATAAAATGGCCAAGTAGGCAAAAAGTTAAAAACAAACAAAAATTATATTGGGAGAAATGAGGAAGCAGCAGCTACTGGCCTGCCTAGTAGAGATCAACCACTGAATCTGCGAGGTCATTTCTGCAGAAAAACATTCTGAACTGGTTATGTATCATAAGCACTTGGTAAACAATGCAAGAGTCAAAGATCCTTGGCCACGTAGGTATTTCAGAAATGGCATTCTGCTGCTCACCATGATGATCACTGAGGACTTCACAGTGACAGCAGAGCTAGAACTCAGATCCTCCTTTTCTTAAACACAGGTGTCTAGTAGAGCTGGTTAGGAGTTTTGCAAGGAAAAGGTTTTTCATTCATCACAAATCTTCTTGGGGCCAGGATGGAATGACTAGTTCTGATTCAGAGCAGGGGCTTGAACATGTGTCTCCCAAAGCCCAAATGAGTGCCTGGCATTCCAGATTCTCTTTATAGCAGGTGTCTTTCCATATCAAACCAGTCACTAGAAGCAGCCAAATTATGTTTGGAGGAAAAGACATTACTAATGGTGAATGTCTGTAGGTGTCACGTTCACTCACGTAGCCGTACAAAGAACCCGGAGATGCAAAAATGATACCATGTTACTCAACAGATCCAGAGTCGTGTTTCTCAATTTACAGACTTATCCTTATCCAACATTATAAGATATTTGGATTTTATATAAATTACTCTAACCATTGGACGATAGAGTTATTTATACAAAATGCAATAGCTTCAGCAGGAGCCACTGTGAGAGATCCACCCCAGAACAGGCAATAGCCTAGTGGTTAGGGCACACACCTGGAAGATGATTCAGAGCAGGAATTTAAGCCTAGGGGCTTGTCTACATGGTGTGTTAGTGCACACCAGCTGGGGTGTAAATTCTAGTGTGCACTAATGTTGTGCACTAAAAGTTCCCTAATATGCATTGACATAGTCCCAGACTACATCAATGTGCACTAGTGCATGCCAGCAGGCTCCACATTGACAGTTAGTGCACAACCTGCTGGTACGCATTAGAATTTACACTAAAGCTGGTGTGCACTAGTGCATCATGTAGACAATCCCCGAGTCTTCCACATTGCAGGTGAGTGCCCTAACCATCAGGCTGTTGCCTATTCTGGGTGGTTTTTTTTCTGTTTTTATTTTTATTTTTATTTTTTTAATGAAAGAGTTTGAAAAGGTCTCAGTTTTGTTCTGATGCACACAAAACACTTGAAATCTTGAAAATTTTCACAGGATAGGAAAAATGTTTCCTGCCTAACTCTAGTTCTAGTACTCGAGCTGAATAAGACCTATAATGTACAGTAGAGCAGTTTTCATTCTATCCAGCAGAAGGTGGTATCCTGGTGGAATACTCTTTCATTTTTAGCAGACATGTTTTGAATTGCAAAAATTTGATGGATTTTCAAAACTTGACATTTCAAACAAACAAAAAACGAGAAGCAAGGAAGAATTGTAATGAAATTTGTGTGAAATTTCCTCCTTCTTGACTAATTATAGAGCTGGTCCATAATTAGAATTTTGAGGGGGGGAAATTAAAAATGTTCAGAGTGAAAAATTGTGAAATTACTTCCCTTTTTCTCAATTAGCTCTAATTGTAGTCAGTTTATTACTTTGTGTACATATGTATATATCCTCACACTGATTTACAGGACTCTGTAATTCCACTTAATGACAGTGAGTAATTATTAGGCTAATAAATCTCTGTGTGGTACAATGTATAAGGCACTGAGTAAGTTACAGGAGACAGAAGTTCTATTCCTGGCTCTATCACTGAGCTACTTTGGGTAGGTCACTTCCCTTCTCTTTGCCTTCGTTTCCTTTTCCATCCTTTGTCTGGCTTGTCTGCTTAGATTATAAACTCTTTGTGGCGGGGCTGTCACTAAGTCTTTGTGACAATTATCACGTTGGGGCCTCTAATATACATAATTTAAGGTACATTTCCCTAGAACACCAATCTTATACTAATGTTCAATACCCCACATAGAGTGTAAAATTTTTTCTGCAACAAGGTTTTTAATAAGAGCCAGATCCTACCACCACATCTGGACTGTTTATCTCTGAAATTTGAAATAACGTATGCACTTAGGGGACTGAGAACAGCCCCCTTGTTTAATGACTGACCCATTAGGATTCTGCCATTTCTAGAGAGTGCAGATCTCATCCAGATAATTATGTTTATGATGAGATCAGATTTTCAACAGTGGAGAGACCTACGTAGATTATGTTGCTTGAGGAAAAGGCACAACTCTCTAATGCCACTCTATTTTACATTAGGGCAGTCACAGTACATGGATAAAACTCTGTTTCTCCTGGCTAAAAACTGGGACCTGAATCCTGACTACCAGTAGGATCTGTGCATGTGAATATGCAAACATTCAAAGGACAAAATTAGGTTCTGATTCAAGGTTCACTTGCAAAGACCCACTGTACTTTGTGAGTCCTGTGCTCTTTTCCATCAAAGACAAGGGCAGATCGTGCCTTAGGATCATTTCCAAGTTGAGTTTTAAAGATAATTATGAAGTTTTTATCAAAATAAAAATGTCAACCTACATGCTGTCAATTGATGTGGAATTAAGACCAGATAATGGCAACTGTACAAATGAGAAATATGGGTTTGTTGAGCCAGATGAATTGCAGGGATAAATCAAAGAATATCTATTAATTTCAGTGCAGCAACACTGAATTATATCCCTGGTGAATTTGGTCTGCTAGTTGTGGTGATTTTAAATACTATTGATTACACATACAGTTTCAGAAAACAATAATTTTTTATTCATAGGGGCTTAAAATGGCAGCCCTTGGCATAAATAGTCTCCAGCAGAGGGTTAGCTTTTACAGGCAAGTGGGTTGCACTGTTCTGCGAAGGTGGGTGGGGAAATCTGACAAGCTGTAGGTTATTGCTAATACATGAAAAACAAGCATTTCCTATAAATGACCAGAAAGAATGTAAGCAAATATTGCTGCTGTGAACCTTCACTTTCTGTTTTAAAAAACAATGTAAAATGGATTCAAGCTAAATGCGGCCATGGGGGTCCTGGTGTTCAGTTCCAGGTTTTAAAACAATGATCTTTGGTGTAAAACCAGGATGTAGATCTTAAGCCCAGATCCTTAAAAGTATGTAGACATCTTACTCCCATTGATGTCCATAAGAGTTAAGTGCCTAAATGCCTTTTTGAATATCTGGGCCTTAATATGTAAGCAACTGTGTAGCGGCACAAAGAACACAAGGAATGTCCTTAATTGCAAACCCCAGGGGAAGACAAGTGACAATTATATTGTGAATATGGAATTTTATTGTTGCACTTACCAAAAACCTTTGTCCACTTATGCTGTGTTTTCTGACGACTTTTTCACAGTCCTTATACTTTAACTGTGAATGGAGAGAAAAAGATTGTTGTTACACACTTGGTTAAATCTAAGAGTGGTTTAAGGCTTCAATTCGGCAAAGCACTTATGCACAAGCTTAGCTTTAAGCATATGCTTCAGTCCCAAAGCAATCTAGTACATCTTGAAGTCTGCACAGCCATGTCTAGAGCTTTTAGCTAGACTGTATTAGCTATATTTGTGTCCTAATCAAGACAAAGCCATCAGGGCCAGGCAGAATTGCAGCCCCTGTCCTCTGCTGCTCCCGCTTGCATGGTGCAGATCTAGGCTGCCCCTTACTATGGCCAACACACCTGGCCCCTTATTTATTTACTGATTTATTCTTCTTGAGAAATGTATGAAAAGGCCCCATCAGACAATCTCTGCACACATTTTTAAAAAATACACCACTCCTGCCCTTCCCTGAAAAGAAGATGAACAAATTCCCTGCAATCACCATATGAAACAAAAGCTTTGGAAAACAGATGAGCTTGACACTGTGCTTTCAAACTGCAGATATCTTGGACTAGTATGGCGCAATATGTTCAAAGCCAAGGAGTATGGAACAAGGGTGTCCTGCTCCCAGCTACTAGACATTCAGAATTGTTATAACTAACACGTCTCCTCTAAGCTGAAATGGCACACCTGTAACTTTGTACATGATCTGTTAACTTTCTTCTCTTCATTATTAAGATTATTGGCAATAAGGGGTCGTCTCGGGGCCCTCCTAGAATGGGACGCCATTGTGGCAGTTGCATCCACACACACAATGAAAATGCTGCCCTTGTCTCAAAGAGCGTGCAAATTAAATATAAGACAGGAGATTCCAGGTTAACCCAATAAACAGATGGGGGCACAAGGTCACAGAGGATTATGATTATAATCATCAGCAGTTGCAGCTGCCTAGCCATTGTTGAGTGTTTTGTAGACATCATGGAAGAGGAGTGTTTGAGGAAAGATTTGAAAGAGGAGAATATAGTGGCTTTGTGGATGTTTACAGAGTGCTCCTTAAAATTTGTATTTGAACATACCTGGGATAACATGAGAGAACAGCCGTTAGGTTTTACATGTCCAAAGAGTTAATGCTCAGTTTTAGTTACAGAAGATAGGAGACTTTCCATTGACTTCAATGGACTCTGGATCAGGTTCAGAGGTGGTAAAACTCAAGTTGGGGAGCACAAAGGTGGCTTTTTGCTGCCTTTGCACACTCCAAAACATGGTTTGGCTAGGGGCTTGTCTGGACTGTAGTAAGACCCCTGAAGTTGTCTGCTTTCCATAGCCACTTATTCTGCCCCATACCGCTAGGAGAACACTCCTGCACTGGTAGAATTCCCCAGGGAGCATTCTATCTCCTTTATACTGCTCCAGAACAGGGACCGTGATCTAAGCTTGTAACTGTGTATTGTTTTAAGGGCTGATCTTGAAAACACTTATGCATATGAGAAACTTTACTTGCATGAGCAGGCTCCAGTTACTCATGTATTTGCAGCAATGGACCCTAACTCTGGAAATAATTTTGGGATTCAGGTTGTATTAAAGACTTTATACAAATGAAGGACCCAATTCTACAAATAATTCCTCCCTGGCATAGTACTTACTACCATGACACTGGCTGCAATGGACTGCTCATGGCAGTAAGTGCTATACCTGGTAGGAAGTGTTTTGTATAACCGGGACCTAAGTTGGTTTTCTTTATGATTTTGCCAATGGGTGAAAATTCTATTTTCTGGTTTTAAGTGAATTTAGAAATTTACAATTGTGAACTTTCTTCCTTTTTCTCAAAGTCTGAGAAATTAGTTGTGGCCCTTTATCGCTTCCTTCTGAACACAGGATGTTTTGGGGAAAGCCTTTTAGTTTAATAGCCCTATTGATCAAAAGCTTTAAATGTGGTAGAGAGTTACGGAGTCAGGAGACCTGAATTTCTTTCTGTTGACCTACACTCTGTGTGGTCATTTACACTGGAGGAAGTGATTTTATCTGGATTTGGGATTGCTCAGAGCCTTTGAAAATCCTCCCCATGGTATCTCCCTTTTGGCAGAGAAAATTAGTGGCCACTTTTGAAAATGTGGATCTCAACCTTTGGAACTCACTGCTGCATGATATTTTGAGGAAAATATATCAGTAAGATTCAAAAGAAGATCCACACATTCCTAAGTATAACAAATAGCATCCTGAATTACACTCTATATGATACAAATTGTGAGGGAGTATCCAGTGGTGAGGGCATAGGATTTGAGATACTTGGATTCAGATCCATGCTCAGAGTTTGTGTGACTTTGGGCAAGATCCTCTGCCTCAGTTCTCCATCTGAAGAAGGGAATGTCATTGAGGATTAATAGGCTAAAGAGAGTGAGGTTCTCCGATATTACAGTCATGGGTGGCCATATAAGTATGAAAGATATATATCATATCATTCCTTGCTCCTCAGAGCATAAACTGATCAGTAATTCATACCAGGAACCCATTTCATCCCACTTGATAGTTTCCAGTTAATGGTGATATAAAACCCTGTGCACCAGTTAAAAAGTGTGTTTTCCTTATTAATCTGCTGAACTTGGATTTAAATAATGTAGTTCTCAATAACAATAAGATCTGTCTCATTTAAGATATCTCAAGATCTTGGTTTCATTCTACTACACAGCTAAGCAGGAGCAAAACAGTTGGAACTAGAGTACTGCAAAGTTGGCGGTTTCACTTCTCAGGCAATCCGGCAAACGTTTGCTTTGGCTTTGATCTGTGCACCTTTGCTACCCATGAACTTCACTTTGCATTTTGGTTTTGAACTTGTCCCAACTCCCTCAAACGAAACCCAGTGAAAGCTGTTGAAACCATGAATTTTGCATGATTTCAGTAGCAAAAATTAAACTGGCCTAGGTTTCTTTTACATTAGTCCCACATCCACTTGAAACTGGTTTGCTGGAATGGATTGAAAGCCTTGGCAAACCTTTTGGGTTTAAATTTCTAGACTGTAATGAAGGTTTTGGAATTTGTTGTGAACATGCACTATAGCCAGAGTGGAAACATAGGGAGGTATTGCTGATTATTTAAAAACCTGGGGGAAATTATGGAAATATATGTACAAGTGATTAGATTTAAGATTCAGTAAAAATGGACCAAACTCAGCATTGCCATACATCCCTTTGCAGTTTTCCTAGCATCAGTGAGGTTGCAGGGTGTAAATCAGCACTGAGTTTTGCCTATTCTTTTAAATTTGTCGCCCACCCCCACCCCCAGTGTGTAAAATCCTCCATTCTGCAAAATGAAATTTAAGAGCTCATCGGGGGTGAAGAGGTATCAAAAGGTGTGAAAGTCCCAGCAATGTCCAGGCTAGTGCGTTAGGGGAAAAGCTACAGCAGGTGAAGGGGGGATGTGTAGGAAGCCTGATGAAACATCAACCTCCTAAGCAGGGGAGAAGAATGAGGAAATGAGATGGGGAGGGTGAGGAAGAAGGTCAGTTGGGTTCCTGAGGCAGGGGGAGGCAATGGGTAGCAGGATCACTTTTTATTTAAATCTGCCCCTCCAAAGAATTATTATCACTATTTATATTATTATTGGCAAATGCTTTTAATTTCAAAGACAAGGTGTCAACATGGGCATTCTACAAATAGGAGCAGCTGCTAAGAGGTGGGGGAGGGATAATATTCTATACATTGTATTTATTTTGGAGGAAAGAATGTCTATCATTTCTCTCCCTCCATCTAGCCCTCTGCTATACCCTGGAGTAATTTTCCTTAGGCACAGATGCTGCCCTCAACCCTGTGGAATGTCCCAAGGAAGTCTTTGGCACTGTTTATGTGAGTTCAGACAAAAAATCATTCAGGCTTCATTTTCGGGCTAGCATGGGAGCTCAGTTCATCACCTCCCTTCAAAAGGCCTGATGTGGGGTCCAAGACTCGGATTTAAGCACCCAATGCTCATTGAATCTGAGCACCTAGCTCCCTTTTTAAAACCCCAACTCAGATGCTGAAGAACTCTTTTGTGTGTCAACCTAAGCAAGTTTTCATAGCCCTTTTGCTCGAACATCCTTGTTCAAAGATTGACGCTTATGAGGTGATCTGTAGATTGAGAATCTGTTTTTCCCTTCTACTAAAGACAAGGTACTGTGGATTCTAAACCAAGCCCTGACATATAACAAGCCTTTGTAACACTAATTAGGAAAGCAATTCAGTCCAGATCAGAGATCATGTGTGAATCTTGATTAGTAAGGATCTTTAATTTTGAAAGTCACAGGAATTATCTCATTGGAGAGGCCTTACAAGACCTGCATATAATGCTTTTCTACCTTAAAAAATAGATTTAGCATCCTTAACTTTTCAGATCCAAACCGAATGATACATCAGCAAGACATTGGTACCAAAGATAAGGTGATTTTTCTGAGAAGCCATCACTTTCTCTTCCTATTGATTTAGAATACATTTTTTCAGGATTCGTCAAGGGCTTCAGGGTACGTATAATCCCTTTCTGAAGTGGCATCTGCTGTGATTATTCAAAAAGATAATTTGATATTATTTATGCAACAAATTCTGCTCTTAGTGTAAAAGAATATTCATTCATTTATGGATTTATTTTAGCACAGAAGTGTTACAGTGACTTGCTACTCCACCATACTAGGACAAAACACAGCAAAACTTACTTTTTTGAAGTAGTCTGCCAGGTCATCTGGGCTCCAAGCAACCACCACTGAGCGATAGGGAATGTTTTGTAAATCCATTTCAGCTCTTTTTTTCTAAGCAGTTACAGAATTTTCATGCCAGTAGTATTAATGAAACAAGCAGCCATAGAATTTCTGCCTATGGCTACCTGCAGCAAATTCAATAATCCACTTGCCTAAGAAATGCCCAGATCTTTTGTTAAACCGTTTTGCTTTTTATTTCTGAGTTATGGTGCAAGAATATCCAAGAGAGCAAGTGCTTCCTCTAAGTACAAAATGGTCTCTTCTCAGAAAACTTGTCAGCTATTCAGCCTCACCACTTCCTTTATCTGAATCTAAATAAGTAAACAAGGAAGCACAGCAACATGATTAAAGTATTCTGCCTTCTGCGTGTAACTGTAATCCTTATGAGCCCTATTTAACAGTATTTAAACTAGGGAGACTGTTTGTTTATTTACATGATATTTCCATGTAACCATTGGCAATATTTAGATAGACTGGTACATTGGCTGCATAGAATTTTGCGCGTATGCGCACACACATGTGCATCTATATTCCCACCACCAAAAAAGTTGCTGGTTTTGAATTAAGTTTGATTACCTGCAAATCTAGCTCGTTCAATACCTGAAAACCAAGAAAATGCCTAGTTAAGAAAACCTTTAACATATCTCAGGGCCCCATATGTGATATTGATTCCTGACACTGAAACTCTCCCTTACACTGCTAACATATAAAAATAATATAATGCACACAACAGATTCCTCTGGCTGCCACCCTTATGCAAACTTTTAGCAATGTCCGTGCAACATTCCCATGTATTTGCAGTGGTTATATGGTATAAGGTATATGCAGGATGTCTTACATGGGGAAAGTATGAGGTTCGTGCTAAGGTTTTGCATTAGAGTATATGCAGGAACTAAAATTTAACTATGGAGCTGCAGCCAGCACCTGCCCCGTATATAGGTTGGGGATTTCGGCTAGGTGAAATTTCAAAGTTCTAAATTTAGGTTTAAAAAACTACACACACCCAACACTCCACCCCCCAAAAAAACTTTGATTACATTTTCACTATTCCATCTCCCCATTTTTCATTGGATCTAGTGGTGATAAATTCTAAACTATGGAACTATGAGATAAATGAGAAAACCATGTAAAAAACCAGAGACCATAAATTGCATCTATTATGCACCTTTGACTAGTTTACCTGCATGCTGCCCATTAATCCATCTCTGCCGAGACTACATTCAAACTTCTAGCAGCTTCAAACACTTAACATTAAAAGAGAACTTGACAAATATTTCCTTTGTCCTCCCTCCCCACAAACCTAACATGGAATTGACCTCCCGCCCCTGGAAATTATACCCATGGGCAATATTCAGTTCTGGTTCAGAGACAAGGATAAAGTTTAATAGTTTGTGGACTTTCTAGATTAGAAATAGTAGCTCCATACCACTAGAAAGGGGAGTTTCCCATGTTTCCAATGTGATATACAGCCCCTGTAGCTTTTAGCCCTGTTTCAGAGGTCATTAATATAGATACTGTATGGCACTGATTATTAATCATTCTTTATTTGTTTGACAGATTCCGTGATCACAAGAAAATATGGACCATGATGACATCCCACACTAGAGTAAGGTGTTACTATAACTCCATAGTATGCAGAGACAAGGTGGGTGAGGTAATATCTTTTGTTGACCAACTTCTGATGGGGAGAGATGAGTTTTCAAGCTTACACAGAGCTCTTCTTCAGGTCTGGGAAAGAAAGAGGGGGAGGCTGCTGTGGGGAGCATTGTTAGTGGATTACAGTTTGTTGTAATAAACCATAAATCCAGTGTCTTTATTCAGATTTTTAGGCTATGTCTACACTACTAATTTGTGTCGACAAAAGTGGTGTCGACACCCAAAAGTTGACATAATAATCGCAATTTCGTATTCACCATAATCAACAGTGTGATCAATGCACTGTGGGTACCTATTCCACTTCTGTCACTTCCATCACTAGGTGTTGTGGGAAGGCGGAGCGGATAGTAGCACATCTTGGGACCAGGCTCAATGTCCCATAATGCATTGATTTCTGTCCCAGCGCTCCATAGGCTTCCGACTTTCTTTCATGGCATTTTTTAATGGCCCTTCTTTGCTGTGCACCCTGGCATCTTTGTAAGAAGGGATGGATCCCGCACTGCTCACCTATGCGCTGTTAACTGTAATGAAGACATTGCGGCTGGCAGTGCAATTAATCATGAAGTTCCTAACTGAGGAAGACTTACAGGCACCTGACATTCTGTGTGATAAGGATAGGAGCAACTTTAGATTGCCATTCACGGAGCAGCTGCATAGGGTAGACTGTCACTTTTGGACTTGGGGAAACAAACACTGAATGTTGGGATCGTATCATCATGCAGTGGTGGGATGACAAGCAGTGACTACAGAACTTTTGGATGTGGAAAGCCACCTTCCTGGAACTGTGTGCGGCGCTCGCCCCAGACCTGCAGTGCAAAGACACTAGAATGAGAGCTGCCCTCTTGGTAGAGAAACATGTGGCAATTGCTGTGTGGAAGCTGGCAACTCCAGACTGCTACTGGTCGGACGTGAATCAGTTTAGAGTGGGGAAGTCAACCATTGGGGCTGCATTAATGCAAGTGTGAAGGGCAATAAATCGCATCCTGCTACAAAGAACTGTGACTCTGGAAAATGTGCGTGAAATAGTGGACGGCTTTGCAGAAATGGGTTTCCCTTACTGTGGAGGGGTGATAGATGGCACACATATTCCAATTTTGGCACCAGACCACCTTGCAACAGAATACATCAATAGGAAGAGATACTTCTCCATGCTGTTGCAGGCACTTGTGGATTACCGTGGGCATTTCACTGATATCAGTGCAGGGTGATCTGGGAAGGTGCATGCATGTACAGAAAGCTGCAAGTGGAGACTTTCTTTCCTAACCAGAAGATTACAGTGGGTGATGTTGAAATGCCCATAGTGATCATAGGAGACCCTGCCTACCCCTTACAGCTGTGGCTCATGAAACCTTACAGGGGACACCTGGACAGCAGTAAGGAGTGGTTCAACAACAGGGTCAGTAGGTGCCAGATGACAGTTGAATGTGCCTTTGGCAGATTAAAGGTCCTCTGGCAATGCCTTTATGGCTGGCTGGACCTCACTGAGGATAATATTCCTATGGTCATAGTTGTGTGCTGCACATTGCATAATCTCTGTGAAGCCAAGGGTGGCAGGTTTGCTCAAGGGTGGAGTGCTGAGGCAGACCAGTTGGCCACTGATGTTGAGCAGCCAGATACTAGATATCAGAGGAGCCAAGAGGGGAGGTATTTAAATCAGGGATGCTTTGAGGCAGCACTTTGACAATGAGCACCAGTAACATACATCTCTGTCCTAGTTGTTTCAATGTTCCATGACATAGTTTTCCTAGGGGGAAATGATGACATTTGGGGCCCTATATTCCTGTAATAAATGCCTGTGCATGTATTGGCAGTGCCTGCAATCTCAACTTGTAGAAAAAAAAATGATTTATCATTATAAAACTTTGCTCTTATTGCACAAGAAACAGCACACGCAAACACACAGATTCATGACAGGAAAGGAGGAATCAGGGAAGGGCAGACTTTCACAATGATAGCTGGACCTATATGCAGTTGTGAAAGTTGTCTGAGGGGGTGAGTGAAGGGGAAACCGAGAAGTCCTGGAAAGTGAAAAGGAATGTGCAGGCAGAGCTTGGGTGGGCACGGAAAAGAGTTCTGAATGTGCTGCAGTGGAGGTCGAGTACTGATCTGCTCAGTCTGCAACATTATTAAGAACTTCAGCATCTGCGTTTGCTCCTCCATTACTTTAATCATCCGCTCAGTTGTGTCCTTAATAAACATGTGATTCTCTTTTCTGTCCTGCCGTTCAGCTTCCCAGCACTCCTTGCGTTCCCTTTTTTCTGCATTAGAGCACTGTAGGACCTCCAGGAATAATGTCTTCTTTGCTGCATCTTGGGTGCTTTCTTATCTGGTGGAGATGCTCAGCCAGGGTGCATGGGGTGTTCCTGAAGGCCACATCTGGTGAAGCACAGGGGACAATGCACAGAAGTGGGATTGTTAAATTCACGCACAGCATTGAAACATTTCTGTTAAATACACTTTTTGCAACATTGACATCACTTTTTCACTGACCCTCGCCAGGCACACATCTCTGCAAACACCCAAAGCCTGGTGAGTGTTGGCAGGAGTGGGGGGGGGGGGAGGGGCTCTCCATATGGGGGGAAAGAGCACACACTCTTTGCAAGGGTCATGGTGCAGCATTCCAAGGAACAAATACTAAAATTCTCCCATACTTTTCCACAGGTGGGGGTAATTCTAGCAGACATCTCACTGCTAAGGGTAAGCAGGGAAATGAGGGTACATCTACTCCATGCTTGTGGCTTCCGCCCTACTCCCTATGCTGCTCACCTATGTGCCGATTTGGTCCCATAACAAGTGATTGCCAAATGGCACGGGAAAATTTCCTACAATGGGGGAAGGAACAAAGCTGGTCTGCCACGGAACCTTCAGCAGAGGATTAGCAAGTACCTCCAGGAAACTTTCCTGGAGATCTCTCTGGAGGATTTCCGTGAGATCTTGGCATGCATCAATACCCTGTTCCACCGTACTGATTAGCTACACAGGGAAATGTCCAATTCACAGAAACACAGCCAGCCTCCCACATTTCTATGCCCTGAACCCACCTCCGCACTACACAAGCCACAGCCACTTACCAGGTGTCTCATCTCCTGCTTCTTGCTCGTCGGAGAGCAACTGCTCAGACTGGCTAGACACCTCTGGAGTGGAGAACGGTTCCTGGCTGCCTGCCCCACTGAGCGGCCACACCGGGAGCTGCACATCCTCAACTCCACCTCTTCATCAATAACTTAGTCCTCTGGGTTAGGTCCTCTTTCCACCGCCTCTGTACCCCCTGAACTATCTACAGAGCTCTTGGCAATGGAGATGGGGTCACCATTGAGGATAGCATCCAGCCAAGAACTGGCAGATCTTAGGTGAAGCACTTGAGTGACAGTTTGCCTCTCTTGCCTTATGGTACTCCTGCCTCAGCTCCTTTATCTTCACTCTGCACTACAGTGTGTCCCGATCATCCCCTTTTCACACAAGCCTTGAGAAATCTTCCTGTAGGTATCCCAATTCATACGGCTCAAGTGCAGCTGGGACTGCACAGCCTCCTCTCCCCATATACTGATCAGATCCAAAAGCTCTGCAGTGGTCCAAGTGGGAAAGCTTTTGCTGTGATAACCCACCATGGTCACCTGGGAAGATGCGATCAG